TGGCAGTGTTTATTTTTACAGGATGGGGTTGCTAGCCTCATGCCCAACCTTTCCTTTTTACCAGCATTTTTTTCTGGCTTAGTGAGGAAAAGGAGTGCGTCGGCCGAGGATCGAACCCCGGACCATGTGCATGGTCGGCTAGCGTCCTAACCGCTATACCACCGACGCACCAGAGGCATAAATCATGAAAATCTGTATTTCTTTACACAATTCTATGACAGCTCCACAGGATTTTATATCTAAGGTTATATGAATGACATCGAAAAATGCATTTCAACAGATCAAGGATGTTAGACTTTCGATAATTTAAATATATGATCCAATCACCAACTAGAAAATTAGCATGAGAACTCGTATTATATTCTTTCTATTATTCCTGTCTCCTGCTGTTTCAGTTTGTGCAGTTTTACCTGAACTTAGTCTCCAAGTAAGGTTTTGTATTGTTGCCTTGTTACTTAAGATTTAATTTTCCCCTAATAACCGACTTCATATATTGAAGTTAAAATATCTTACTCATATTGTAGTCCCTTCGTTTCGTTCTGCAGATTAGTCCAAACTTCAGGGATATGATTAAAATTTTCAAAATTTGTAGGTTTAAGTTAATGGAAGTTCTTATCTTACATTCGAATGCACAGCTCATTTATGTTTTAAACATGAGAATGGCCTTATTAATCATATATCTCAAGCGAAACATTAGAATTACTTATTTTAGTATCCTTAAGATTGACTTTTTATGGTTAATTTTCAATTGGTGCTTAATTCTCATGGAATTGTTAGGTTAAATTTTGACCACAGATTTCAATTGCGAATGGGGAAATAGCATTGTTTACATATCAGTTAAATGTTTTGTGAGTGGTTTCAGTGCGTGGGGGGGGGATTATTGTTGGTGCGCTGTCGTTTCATGTGACAATCATTATGTCTACAAACCTTTGGGTCACATAGGTGCTTTAATTTTCACACAGTTGTTTCCATGAGCTCAGATACTTCCTGAATTTCACCTTTGTTTCTGACAGCATCTCGAGGCATAAATGTTTAGAATTTGCGTTTGGCAAAGCTTAAGTGGCAACAGGATGATTTGCTTTCAATGAGAAACTTCACAGTATATTTTACTTAAGAATACATAAATCATTAGTGACCAATTTTTGTGACTTCACTCCATTTATCTGTTCTAAATACATGACATGGGGATTTTTCATACCTTAAAGTGGCATTATTGTGCGTCGGTGGCATAGCGGTTAGGACGCATGTCGATCTTGCACATGGTCCAGGGCTCGATTCCCGGCCGACGCACCCCTTTACCTCGCTAAACCAGAAATAATGCTGGTAAAGAGGAAAGGTTGGGCATGAGGCTAGCAACCCTTTCCTGTAAAACAAACCCTGCTACAGAAATTTTAAGCCACTAGCTTGAAGCCCTATGTTCCATTGGGGAACGTGAAGGGGAAAAAAGTGACGTCAATGCTAAGTGATATGGTAATTTGATTCAATATTCACGCTGAGGGTATTTGTTTTTTTCCTCACGTTCCCAGTGGAAGATAAGGCTCCAAGCTATAGGCTTGAAGTTTCTGTAGCAGTGATGTTTATTTTTACAGGATGGAGTTACTAGCCTCTTGCCTAACCTTTCCTCTTTACCAGTCTCACTACTGGCTTAGCGAGGTAAACGAGTGCGTCGGCTGGGGATCGAACCCCGGACCATGTGCATAATCGGCAAGCGCGGTAATCGCTGTGCTATCGACGCACGGGTATTTGTACTAAGGCTTATATCAGAGAGTAACACTTATTTGAACAATTTTAGGTGTTGGAAAAATAAAACAGTATATATATTATAAAAGCTGTTGTGCAGTAGTATGGAAAGCAAGCTGTATTTTTAGTTTTATCTGACTGACAGAGTTTCAGGAGAGAAATCTGTACAGAAGCGCTGTTTCGACTTGACTAGACCTAATTCCTCGCGCCTGATTTAGTGACAGCTTAAGTCGCTGAAAGAGGAAGGCGAAAGCTAGACATGAGTAACACGTGTCTTAGCCGTCTTACTTAACACTCCACTCCACTCATCTTCATTATTGCTCATTTTTTACCGCTAAACATGGAAGATACAACTTAAACAACTGTTGTGAAACACATCTGGGCTTTTCATGTTTTCTACCTTCATCCGTTACAGCTGTGTAATAACAGAAGACAAGGGCCAGGCGACAGATCGTTTATTAGGGAAATCAACACATATTTATAGATTTTCATGTACATATTATAGATTATTTAAGCAAACAAGCAGTCTTCTGATTGGTTGTTTCTCGTCGAACGTTAATCTTTCATCTCTGTGGCTGTTTCTTGAATGTCAGATCATCTATATGTTAACTGTATCAGCCTACGCAGTCTTATGTGGTTGGTTGTTGAATCAGTCTTTGATCATATTTTTCTCACGACCAACATTGAAGACATAAACATTGACGTAAATTACTGTCCACCAATATTTAGCTAGTAGCCAGCTCTCACCATAGCTGCATAGCAGACACATCCTTTGATGAATAGCAGAATATCGTGTCTATGCCAGAAGTTTTGTAAGCTGTCAAATGTGACACGAGCCTTGTGTATATGTGTTGAGATTTCGTTAGCAATCAGCAGGTTGGAAACGCTCAACCATTTCACTCCTTATCTTTAAACTAGGAGTCGGTTCAGACTAGTCCTGCAGCAACATTTCACATTTGACACGTTAGTGTTAGCTAGTTAGGACTTAGTTATCTTTACCTTATACTATAAAACGAGTCTCACCTACTATGAGTGCTCGTGGCACTACCCAGTTGGTCGGCTTAAAGAAGGTATATTGGGGTTTTGTCTGGAAACCCTTGAAGTAAAAAAAGTCCTAAAGTCCATGAACCACATCTTCACAAGATATTCATTGTAATAATAATAATAATAAGAACCGAAAAATTAAGCACCTCTGTAAATATTAAAACCACTTCTAAATTTAAAAACAAAAATAGAATGTGGAGATGTGTCTTATAACCTTTCAGCCAGCAGATACCAAGTACTAATCCCACTCCACCTACTTCTACCTGAACAACTGAGTAGTATCATTAATCCGTACAATTATCAGCACTTAAAGTATTATATTCTGGATAACAGAATCGGAATAAAACTACCAAATAAAAAACGGAACACAGGAGATTGTCTAATGGGGTTGTTGTGTTCCAGTTTCAGTAAAAGTATGCGGACGATATAGTCCTTCTAGGCGAGGACGCTGACAAACTCCAGCAGAGTCTTCTGAACACCTTGAGCTGCAGTCTGTGATTGGCATGTTTGGAAAAAAAAAAAAGTTTTTTATAGGGCCGTTTTTTTCCCGTAAAGGATAATAAGGTGAGCAACATGGAGGTTAGGCGTAGAGTTCTAGGTAAACAGGGGAAATCAATCGACGAAGTCGTGAAGCTACAAAGACTGAGATGGTTGTTTTTGTTAGTCCAACCCCCCCCCCCACCAAGAATGTGGAATAGGGCGGGGAAAAAAACTAGCGGCGGTCAAAAAAAAACTTGGCACCAGTCAATGAAAACCACAACATTTGGTCTAAGCCACGTGGGGAGGTGTAGACTTCCCGACTGGGTGGGGTCCTCGGGACGGTAAAAATCTATGGTTGGAAACAATTGGTGACATGGCTCAAAACCGTTCACAGTGGCGCAGTTGCATCCACTCCCTGTGACTTATGATCTTCAGTGAAACTGTTTTGTATTTCTTTATTACTGCTTTGTCTCACACCTCTGCTCACTGTTTCTATTATGCTTTTCTTGTACTTTCTTCTCTTGCTTCGCGTGCTACACGGAATGTGGCGACTTGAACTTCCGCACATTTGTGCAAAGTTCTATGTCGAAAACAGACAGACAGACAGACATGTTTGGAATGCGATTCGTTCCCGCTAAATGTCAGATGATGTTACAGGACTGGACTACACTGACTCCTAGTTTAGAAATAGGGAGTGAAGTGGTGGAGCACGTTGGCCGCTTCACTTTTTTTGGGAGTACCATAAGCCAACGCCAACGGGTTGATCTCCGACGAAATCTCAACACGGATACAGAGGGCTAGTTTCGCATATGCTACTTTACGCTGTCTCTGGCGTAGGCATGATATCCGGCTAGTCGGCTATCGACCAACGGGCGAGTGGACTGCTCACCAGTCCTCTCCGTTGCCCTTTATGACTAGCTGTGAGACCTGGCCATTGAGAGTGGAAGACATGAAAAGATTAGCTGTATTTGATCATAGGTGCCCGCGTTCTGTCTCCCTCCCGTGTGAAGTGGTATAATAAGGTAAGCAATATTGAGGTTGGCGTTCTTCGGTCGAGTTCTAGGTAGGTGGGAGGGGAAATCAATCGACGAGGCTATGAAGGTGTTACATCGACTGAGATGGTTAGGACATGTGTTACGCACACATGCCTAGCCTAGTCATCGCCTTCCCCGACAGCTGGAAATGTTAGCTGACATAGGGTCAGGCTGGAAAAGAGCTAGCACATGGCGGTCAGACCAAAACGATAGCTTCATCAGTTAATGTAATACACAACAGCTAGTTTAAGCCACATAGGAAGGTGTAGACTTCCTGACTGACTGGTCGGTGTCCACCAGACGGTAAAAACCAGTGGTTGGAAACAATTGGTGATATGGCTCAAAGTAATCGTTCTCAATGGCTGGCTGGCGAAGATGCATCCACTCCTTGTGACTTATGATTTCCAATGAAACTACATTGTTCTTCGTTACTACTATTTCTTTGTCTCACACCTCTGTTTACTGTCTCTATTATGCATTTCTTCTACTTTCTTCTGTCGCTTTGTGTGCTACGTGGAGTGTGGCGACTTAAACTGCCGCACATATGTGCAAAGTTCTATGTCGAAAATACACAAACAGACAGACAGTTGAAACTCAGTCAGTCATCTATGAATGTTAGTTAACTTTAAAGTCCCCTTTGTTATTTTTAACTTCATTGTTTTTATCGTTTTCTCTTCATTCATTCAGGTGTACAGATGAATTATGGCTTCGCGACATATTCCTTATACGGATATGTCAGATATGGGTCGTGCAGCTCAAGAGGTTTGTGATTGATTGCATGACTCTCTCTCTCACACACCCTATTTCTCTTGTACAGACGGAAATGCAACGTGCTGCTAATCAACAGTTAATTGAAGAAGGCAGAATAATTAAGCATAAAGAATTAGAAAAGCAAAGACGTGAAGTTTGTCTTATGTGTGTTTTTTTATAACGTAATTTTTTGCTACTATTATTAGGAGGAGAATGACGAAGACAGTAGCAGTGGACGTCCTGATGTTATTATCAGGGTAAGTTACTTTATTGTTATAAAATTAAATTGTAATCTTTTGTTTTGGAACATGACATAACAAGTTTCAATTTGTCTGAGAGAGAGAAAGCTGTTATCTTGACGTGGCGGTCAGATTCGCATATCTCACTCAACCAATTAGCTACGCACTGGCTGGAAATAATCTTCCTGTTAGTGGCGGTTAGACTTAAACCAGTTGCCATCATAGTGTTAACTGTTTACAGTGTGTTAGGAGTCTGTGGGCGAATAGGCCTGCGATAACAGTAAGATGCTTCCCTCAGAGATGACCGGCAAACTAGATATGCTGTGTCTTCTCTATGGAGAAGGGGGAATTACAAGAGGTTGATCCTGAAAATTGCTCATCTCAACTTATTTTATAAGGCGGTAAGATCTTGATATGGACACTGCGTCAAAAATTCACTTCAAACAGTCCATGTGTGTGTGAGACTGGCATCAAGCAGTTGTGTTGTGGGTGCTGCGGCCACGCAAGTGCCCGGACTTGCCTCAACTTTGATCATACTGACTTGTGAATGCTGGATTCCCATCAGTTCTTCAGGGGGATATTGAGTACACCAGTATTTCTAAGGTACTTGCGTGGAAAGTGTAATTGTATGTCAGTCAGAAATATTTAGGCATGCTTAACACACTGCGTGTTCCCAGTGGAGTATAGGATTTCAAGCTAGAGGCTTGAAATTTAGGTAGCAGTGGCGATTATTTTTACGGGATGGGATGGCTAGCCAGCCTCATGCCCAACCGTCCTTCTTTACCAGTCTTATGACTAGCTTAATGAGCGAGGTAAAGGAGTGGGTCGATAGCCGGGGATTGAACCCCGGATCACATGTGTGGTTGGTGAGCAGCATCCCACCGCTGTGCCACTGACACACCAGGCTACTAGCTGTATTTATTATGTGTTATGGTGGGTGCTACTACCTAATTGCCCAGGTTGAAGTAATTGTCTCAACTACTGGAGGAACGGACGAGGATGTCGAGAGAACCGAGAATCGGGAAGGCGAGTGAGAAACACATTCATCTTCATCAACCTGAAACCAATCTGGAAAACCAATCTTCGTCACTCAGCCAGCATCAACAACAAAATTCGGTCGAATTTTCAATACAAACTTGGTCAAGTCAGTCAGTTCTTCTATACGGATGAGAAACTTGGCGGATGGGTCACAAAGAATATTTCCACAATCATCAGCCTGTTGCAGACGTTACCTTTATCAACCATCAACTGTCTTTGCTGGATCTATACTGAAGATCAGATGGCCGGGCCGGAACCAATCACCAACAAGAAACTATGGGAAGAAACGAACGAAACAAGAACAAACCAATCGCCAACCAACAAATATACAGGAGAAAGTGGAGATGGATGGATTGGACACTCACTCGCTGAGGAGGCGGCTGGGTGACATGGCGCGCGCGTCAGGCCATTGGTCGAGTGGAACCAGGCTGAAAGGGAAGCGGCGAGTTGGTCGTCAGTGTGAGGGTGGCATGGAGAAGATGGTGTGAAGAGGAGTTTGCTGAAAGAGTACGGACTAACATGGATGGATGCAGGTGAAAAGTAGAGCAGGAGACAGAAGTAAGTGGAGACGTGGAGTTGAAGCTTTATGTCCCAGCAGGAACCCAAGAGAACAGTAATAATCATGTTTTTTAAGGATGTATTAAATTTGTGGTCAGCTCTGCTTTTTGTCATTACATTTTGGAAAACAGAAAACGCATTCATTGGAAGCTTGTTATTTTTTTATATTTTATTCTTTTTCTTATCATATACGCATAGGTTAACTCTGGTGGTACATCACGGTTGAGTAGTCAGCGTTCTTCTGTTGATTTTGCATCATCAAGTAGTTCAAGGAATTTAGATGCTCGTGAACTACGTACACAATTAATACAATTAGAAGAGAAAGTGAAAGGTGCAATGTTATCCAATGTTCAATTGGATAATGATAAACAATTATTAAAGTAGGTGTTATTTATTTATATGTAAAATTAGTTCCACTGGTATTGATTTTACTGGGATTTAAAGTTGGAGAACTATTAAGATCTCGGGAGTACCAGACAACCATTTTATTGGAGTTTAAGACTTCTTTAGTGCACACTGGATTCTATCCCAGTGACCGTGTGGCAACTAGAAGGTTCTGGTTTTGACCTGCATCACGTTCATGGGCGCTTACCGATGAAGAGTCCAAAACTAGAACGAAACAGCTGTCCAGTACTCCCAGGTTTCCCAATGGTTGTCTAACTAATGTCAGCTCATGATGAAATCCTGTAATTAGATTTTAGTTAGATAGTGGTTGTGATAGCTTTTGTTCGAATTGTGCTTTATATAAATCCTCTGATTATTATTATTATTATTACCACTGTTATTCCTTTGGGTTTCAAATGGAACAGAGAGCTCGAACAGTACATCTCCTTTTCATCCTGTCTGCGCCTGCCAGTCCTTTTTTATCTGGCTTCATATTTGACCATAAACTTTTATTTCATCCACATACGATCTCGCCTATTTCACTTTTGGCCCTGGCCTTGCCTTGGCGTACACAGGCCCTGTTTATTATCCCTCTTTCGAATCTCTCAATTGTTTCCAACCACTGGTTTTTACCATCCCGAGGACCTTAACCAGCCAGTCAGGAAGTCTACACCTTCGTGACTTAAACTAACTGTTGTAAATTTCATTGACTGATGAAGCCATGTTTTGGTTTGGACACCATGTGATAGCTCTTTTCCAGTCTGACCCTATGTCAGTCAGCTAACGTTTCCTGTTGTCGAGGAAGGCGATGACTAGGCTAAGCATGCGTGGCATAATAAGGTGAGCAACATGGAGGTTAGGCGTTGAGTTCTAGGTAAACAGGGGAAATCAATCGACGAAGTCGTGAAGCTACAAAGACTGAGATGGTTAGGACATGTGTTACGTATGCCAAGTCATCGCCTCCCTCGACGAGCAATGTTAGCTGATATAGGATCAGGCTGGAAAAAAGCTAGCGGCGGTCAAACAAAAACTTGGCACCAGTCAATGAAATCCACAACATTTGGTCTAAGCCACGTGGGAAGGTGAAGTCCTCACTGGTTGGGGGCCTCCGGGGGGCAAAAAAATTTGTTGGAAAAAAATGGTTGAAAGGCTCAAAAAAATTCTTCGTGACTGGCGGCGGAGGATCCACCCCCTTTTGCTTATTATTTTCAACGAAGGAGGTTTTTTTTTTTTTTTTTATCCCTTTTTTCACACCCCCGCTCACTGTTTTTTTTTTTCTTTTTTTTTTCTTTTCTCCCTTTCTTCGCGGGCTACACCGAGGGTTTCGACTTGAAATTCCCCCCAATTTTTCAAAATTCTTTGTCGAAAAAAAACAGACAGACGAAGCATGCGTGCGTGACACATGTCCTAACCATCTCAGTCGATGTTACAACTTCATAGCCCCGTCGATTGATTTCCCCTCCCACCTACCTAGAACTCGAACGACGACTAACCTCAATATTGCTCACCTTATTACACCTACCACTTCACACGCGAGATAGAGCGTAGCACCTATGATCATAGACAGTTAGCCAGCTAGGCTTTTCATGTCTTCCACTCTCAATGGCCAAGTCTCACAGTCAGCCATAAAGGAGGACGGAGAGGACTGGTGAGCAGTCCACTCTCCCGTTGGTCGATAGCCAGCTAGCCGGATATCACGTCTACTTGGCCAGATACGGCGTAAACTGGCATATGCGAAACTAGTCCTCTGTATCCGTGCTGAGATTTCGTCAGATAGCAACCCTCATATGTTAAGTGGGCGCCTCATAGCATATAATTCGTCATTGAATTATTCAGTCGCCTATTGATTTGTGTAAATCAACTACCGCTTTCTTTGCATCCTTTCATCTTTCTTTCTTTTTTATTTATTCAGATATGAAGTTGATCTGTTGAAAGATAAGCTCGAAGATCTTACAGATGCTTATGCTTCTTTGAATAAGATTTTCTTGGAGAATAAACGGGTTAGTTTCAAATTCATACTTTTTTCTCAGTTGTGTTATCAAGTAACAAAGATTTATTTTTGGTAAAGAATTGACTTGACCAATCAACAGGAATCACTGGGCAGCTGTTTTGCCCTTTTTTGGGTGGAACTCTTCGAAAGTACGCACTCATAGTCGTCCAACTAGAAGTGTTGAAACTAGGACCTCCAGGTTACAAGGTGAACTTGTTGACTATTCGGCTACTGGGACGGAATCTAATGAATGATTCATCAATTCTAACTTTTGCCAGTTTTTTGCGACGTATGCGGTGCGATTGCCAGCAGATAATGTTATCGGCCGGTGGGTATCTGTGCTCATGACCAACTTTATGAACTCCTACTGGAACATCAAGCAGCTTTATTTATTTATTTAATTTATGTGATTTCAGCTTGATTCCACACCGTATTTTTTGGTACAGATATGGATTTTAAGTAAATGTGATATCGGTAGCCCAATTTTCGCAGGCCGACCATAGATATCAAGTGTGCGTCGGCAGGGGATCGAACCCCGGACCATGTGCATGGTCGGCGAAAGTCTCCTAACTGCTGTGTCACCGACATTTTGAAAATCAGATTAATTTTCAACTGTTAGTTTGCAGTTAGTTTGAGTCGCTTGTGAGGACAGATACCCGCTGATGATAGCATCTGCTGTGGCGACCGTGCAATATACGTTTACAAATGGGCAGAATTTAGAGTCGATGAGTCATTCATTGGATTCTGTTTTGAGTGTAGGTGAACGACCAACGAGATTGCCTTATAACCTGTTCCATAGTGGGGTTGTCACGGATGCGTAATTCTGAATGGTCTCAGACAAGGATGAAACAGCTATTCAATACTCCCCTGGTTGGTGACTTTCTATGGTTCTCCGATTGAAGTCAATTTGTGGTCAGACTTATAATCAATCAAATCTCCTCAGGCCAATCCGAAATGCACACAAAACCTCAGGCCAACACTTATAGGATTTATTTCTGTTGTAATTATTAAAGAAACCCAGTTCAGAACCATGCCACAAAAACGATTTGTTTAGTTGGTTTTCAGCTGGGTTGGCATACAAATCCCCTAAGGTGACACTTGTTGAAGTGTAGTGTACAGGTTAAGACGTTGACAAAATTACTTGTATCAGTACAGCGGCATTCGATTCTGTCAACCGAGAGGTACTCTGGCGATGCTTGGCTGTAAAGGGAATGACGAGAAAATACATTGCATTGATCAAGGCACATACTCTACTCGAACTCATGCAGCTAGCCGTGTGAGGGCTTACTGCGAGTTGTCATCCGAACTGGTGACAAATAGTGGTGTCCGTCAGGGATGCCAGCCCATTATCCCCATTTCTATTCAATTTCATCATAGATGTACTAATGGACTTAACCCTTACTCACTTCAGAGACTCAGGGATTGACTTGCTACCAGGAATAATCTCGTTGACTTGGAATATGCAGACGATATAGTCCTTCTAGGCGAGGACGCTGACAAAATATAAAGCAGAGTCTTCTGAACACCTTGATTAGCAATCTACGATTGGCATTTTTGGAATGCGATTCGTTCCCGCCAAATGTAAGATGATCAGGCTACAGGACCGGACTGGACTACACTGACTCCTAGTTTAGAAATAGGGAGTGAAGTGGTAGAGCACGTTGACCGCCTCACTTATTTAGGAAGTTCCATAAGCCAACACCAACGGGTTGATCTCCGACGAAATCTCAGCACGGATACAGAGGATATGCCAGTTTACACCATCTCTGGCCGAGTAGACGTGATATCCGGCTAGCTGGCTATCGACCAAAGGGCGAGTGGACTGCTCACCAGTCCTCTCCGTCCTCCTTTATGGCTGACTGTGAGACTTGGCCATTGAGAGTGGAAGACATGAAAAGCCTAGCTGGCTAACTGTCTATGATCATAGGTGCTACGCTCTATCTCGCGTGTGAAGTGGTAGGTGTAATAGGGTGAGCAATAATGAGGTTAGTCGTCGGTCGAGTTCTAGGTAGGTGGGAGGGGAAATCAATCGACGAGGCTATGAAGGTGTTACATCGACTGAGATGGTTAGGACATGTGTTACGCACACATGCCTAGCCTAGTCATCGCCTTCCTCGACAACAGGAAATGTTAGCTGACATAGGGTCAGGCTGGAAAAGAACTAGCACATGGCGGTCAGACCAAACGTGGAGACACAATTCTATTATTCATGGAGGGTGAATTGAAATGAGTTAATTAGTGCTAAAACTTCCACTGAAAGGGGATGTTGTCCAGAAGGGGGACGACGAGAAAGCTTCGCAATTAAACCAACCAACTATCTCAGAGAACACAACTAATCGCAAATCATGGATCTGAGCTACACCCATCTTCTCTATTATTTTTGTAATGCATTGTATTTATTCATATCAACAACATTCCATGCATTGTGTTAAAAAGTTTCAGTAGTATTGTGTGTGTGTATGGTGAGAGCTGTATGCTAGCCAAATTGGGTAGACAGGAATTTACGTCTATGTTTACATCCCAAATCCTGGTCATGAGAAAAAAGCAAGCAAGAACAAAGACTAACCCAACAACCATTCACAGCAGGCTTAGCGTGGGCGGATACGATTCACAGATATATGTGGTCTGACCTTCAAAGAAAAACTGCCACAAAGCGATGACAAATATTAACCTTCAGCGAGAAAACAACCAATCAGAAGACGATGTTTCTCTGCTAATAATAATGTACATGCAAATCTATAAATATCTGTTGATTTTCTCAATAAACGATCTGTTGCTTGGCCTTTATTTTCTGTCGTTACAGTAGTAGTATAACAGCAGAAGACAAGGGCCAGGCAACAGATCCTTTATTTACGAAATCAACACATATTTATAGATTTGCATGTACATTATTATAGATTATTGTTAATAGAAAAACAGTCTTCTGATTGGTTGTTGTTTCTCACAGAAAGTTAACTTTGCATCTCTTTGTGGCTGTTTCCTGAATATCAGATCATCTATATGTTTTAACTGTATTCACCTACGCAAAGTCTTTATTCTCACGACCAATATATTGGGGACATAAACATTGACGTAAATTACTGTCCACCAATTCTGACTAACAGCCAGCTCTCACCACCACAGTAGTATACTTTAGAGGAACAATATTCTTTAGGCTTTTATGGATAACAAGTAATGTGTACATAATTGATTATGTGCATGTGTGTGTATTGCTGCTAACCACCACATCCCTTTCCATGTTCTTTCTTTCTTACCCCTCCTTAACCATTTTCTAGGAATTATCCTATCAAAAAATGCAAATTATTGAGTTGACTCATCGTCTAGAGTATGCACGTCATCAAGTTGAAGCACGTGATCAATTGATTGTTGAACATGGTTTAGTGTTAGTTGGTGGAGCTAGTGCTGATAGTGTTACTACATCATTATCGTGTTTATCTAAAAATGACGAATCTGTGACAGGAAATAAATCGAAGTATAATGATAATACGAAAATGATGAATGGTGGCGGTCTATCAAAAATAATCATTCCAAATTAAATAATCCTCATTTGCCTTTCTCCTCACATCATCAGAATAATACTGATGACGATCATAATCTTGTTGATGATATTATGGATCATAGTAATGGTGATAATGATCATGATGGTAATAATCAGAAGAGAAGGCCTCGTTTACCTGAAATGGTTCTTATCACAAAGTCTACAGCTGAACTATTAAATACCTTGTCAGAGACAACATTAGGTAAGTGTGTGTGTGTTCAATGTTGCACACAGTTATTGATTGGATTATTGAACTATGTATGTATGTATGTTTTTTATTGTGTAGAGTCTTGTGCGTTTACTAACTTACACTCTAGTTTATATCATACTAAGTTGAATACTATATACTATTGTTAAACAGTCTGAAGATAGCTGAACTCTTGAGTATATTTCATTTTACTATGAATGTGTATATATATTGGTTGGAGTGGATGCATCTGTGCCAGCCAGCCATTGAAAACCATATTACCACCAATTGTGTCGAGCCTTCATTGGTTTTTAACCATCCCGAGGAGCCTAACCAGCAAGTCAGGAAGTCTACACATCCCTACGTGATTTATACTAACTGATATGGGTGATTTCATTGACTGATCAAGCCATGTTTTTCGTTCGACCACCATGTGCAAGCTCTTTTCCAACCTCATTACTCGTCTGTCAGTCTGGATCCAACATAGAGCTTGGCACCGAAGTGCACCAGTTCGAGTTGCCACGTTCCAAATAGCACACAGAGGTAGACAAGAAGATGAGTGAAGAGAATCAATAGAGTTTGAAAAGTATAAGAGTGAAACAGAATGGGTAATGGTAGAAAGGAATATGAAAGATTACAGAGACTGAATACATCTGCACCATTGACAACGATTTTGAGCCATGTCACCTATTGTCTCCAGCCATTGATTCTTAGAGTCCCGAGGGCCCCAACCCGGGAGTCTGCATCTCCCTACCTGAATCAGTTTAACTGTCAAGGATTTCATGGATTGATGAGGCCATGTTTTTGTTTGGCCACCACTGGCTCTTTTCCAGCCTGCACCTATATCAGCTAGTAATGCCCGTCGTCGGGGGAGGCGGTGGTTAGGCATGCGCAGCACGTCACCTAGCCATCTTAGTCTATGTAACTTTATAGCATCGTCGATTGATTTTCCCTGTTTGCCCAACACTCTACGCCTAACGTCAACATTACTTACCTTATTAAACCACCTAACGTGAGAAAGAGATTGCAGACACCTATGATCGAAAGCAGTCAACCTTTTCATGTCTTCAACTCGTATTGGCCATGTTTCAGAGACATAGACAAGGACGGAGCGAACTGATGAGCACTACACACGTCCCTTGGTTGATAACCGGATGTCATGCCTACTCCAGAGATGGTGTAAGTCAGCGAAAGCAGCTCGAGCTTTTCGGATCCGTGCTGAGATTTCATCGCCAATCAGTTCGTTGGTGCTAATACAACTTCCCAAATAGGTGAAGTGGTCAACATGTTCTATCACTTCACTCCCTATTACTAAGTTAGGAGTTGACGTAGTCCAGTCCTGTAGCAGCATCTTACATTTTACAAAGGGGCGAATCGCATGCCAAACATACGGAGATTGCTGCTCAAGGTGTTCAGAAGACTCTGTTGGATTTTGTCAGCATCCTCCCCTAACAGGACTATGTCATCTGCATATTCTATGTCCATAAGACTATTCCCTGGTAACAAGTCGATTCCTAAGTCGTTACGTTCAGTTAAGGATACTTCCATCAGCATATCTATGATGAAGTTAAACAGAAATGGGGAAAGTGGACATCCCTGTCGGACACCACTGGTTGTTACCAATTCAGATGACAATTCCCCACCGTATGTTAGTCAGCTATTATTGCTTGTTGTCGAGGAAGGTCGCTGGGCGTACGTAACACACGTTGATGTAATTTCACAGACTTGTCGATTGATCTCCCCTCCCACCACCTACCTGCCACTCGACCGACGCCTAACCTCAATACTGTTCACCCTATTACACCTACCACTTCACACGCGAGATAGAACGTAGACACCTACCAATGATCAAAGACAACTAGTCTCTTCATGGCTTTTACTCTCAATGGCCAGGTCTCACAGTCAGCCATAAAGGTGGATAGAGTGGACTGACGAGCAGTCCACGCGCCTTTTGATTGATAGCCAGATATCAACGGCTGTCGACATGCATTTATACTTAGTTTCTTGATTACCATTTAATGGTATCAAGTGGAGAGATCACACAGATATGGTAACTTCAGCAACACCTCGGTTTCAGAAAGGTAGTCCGGTTTATGCATTCATGTAAAGATGGGTAAGGCAAGGATAATAACTGTGCAAATTTCTTTTGAGAACACACACACAGGTTTAGCTTGCTCTTCAGGTGGACTCCTATTGCTTCAGCTGTGTAGGTATGTAGAAGACGAACGCGTAAAACAAAACTAAGATTAGTAGGAATGCGATAAATAATTTTAACTGTTGTATTTAACGTCAACCTTATGCTTACTATCTACAAGGTGGGCTAAAACACAGCTACGAATCCAACTGATTTTTCTCTTGCTTATCAATGCTAATTATTGTTAACAAATATATTCCCACTTGATTGTTTAGTTGTTGTGTATTGTTGTAATAAAGGTGCCATTGCGTATATATTGAAGTCCCGACCGAAAGCTGCTACCCTGACGTGGTGGTCGGGCTTGAACACCGCAATGATCTATTCAAGCTATACTGGCTGAGACTTATGTCTCTTGAGGTACTACCATGCCAGGCAGGTTGTTTGGATAGCGGTTAAACAAAAAGCAGCTACCCAATCCAACATCATGTCCAATACAAAATCACAAAATTTCATGCCGGATCGGCCGTGACCCGAATTAACAACGACCGCGCTTCCTGCTGCCGTGTCACAGGGTAGGAGTGATAAGTATGCTACTGAGGCACACCAAACAAAAGAGAACAAACAAAAACAGGCCGCGTGTGACCGGCCTCAAGCAGTTGTCCCCTGGGCTCTGCGGTCACGCAACCAACTTCCACGGTGTGGGCAGCCGGGAAGTAACAATCGCCCTCACAATCCTACATGCACAAGAAACCTCTCTAGTCCTCACTCATCTTTGTCTTCATCATCATCTCTATCATCTTGCCTTCCTTCCACTGATGCAACTCCTCGACTTGATAGCTCTCCACTTCCTCTCCACTCTGCGTCCACTAAAAACGATGGAAGCCAAAAATCCACCACCGACAGCCTCTTAAAGCCGCGCCACCAATTTCATATAGGATCTTTAATGTTAGGACACTTTACCAAATAGGACAACAAGCATCACTAGCCAAGACCCTGGAATCACGAGCCATTGATGTATGCTGTGTTTCAGAAACACGCATACAAGACCCAAGTGTGGTTATTCACCTAACCCCACCTGGCCAACAGGTTGAATCTGCAAAATTCACCTTGAGGGTGTCAGGAGATGCTACAGCCAGTTCACGAGGATTAGCTGGCGTAGGGATAGCTCTGAGTACTAGGGCAGAAAAGACACTGCTTGACTGGATCCCGGTAGATAGCCGAATGTGTGCTGTCCGCCTGAACGGGTCAGTAAGAAGAAGAAAGGACTGCACTACTCGCCGATGCCTTTTCGTAATCTCCGCCTACGCCCCCACTGACTGCAGTCCAGATGAAACGAAGGATGAGTTCTACCAAAAGCTGTCTAGTTTGGTGGGAAAGGCTAAACGCTCAGACATAGTCGTTCTAGCTGGTGACTTTAACGCTCAAGTAGGGAAATTGTGTGAATCTGAATCTGATTGAAGTAGAGCCAGATTGAGATGAGGATCTAATTGAAAAGTAAATATTTTCTTCGCTTAATTCTTTTGTTTTCTAAATGCATAAATGGGGATTATTTCTTTATAGAAATAAAATTCCCTTGTGGACTTATACCATAGTATCTGTCTGTCTGTTTTCGACATAGAAGTTTGCACCGATGTGCAGGAGTTCAAGTCGCCACACTCCCTCCATGTAACACACAAAGCAAGAGAAGAAAGTAGAATAAATGCATAACAGAGACAGTAAACAGAGGTGTGAGATAAAAGGAATAATAATAACCAAGAACAATATAGTTTGTTTCATTGGAAATCATAAGTCACAAGGAGTGGATGCATCTGCACCAGCCAGCCAGCCAGCCATTGAGAACGATCACTTTGAGCCATATCACCAATTGTTTCCAACCACTAGTTTTTACCATCCCGAGGACCTTAACCAGTCAGTCAGGAAGTCTACACCTTCATACGTGACTTGAACTAACTGTTGTAAATTTCATTGACTGATGAAGCCATGTTTTGGTTTGACCACCATGTGATAGCTCTTTTCCAGTCTGACCCTATGTCAGTCAGCTAACATTTCCTGTTGTCGAGGAAGGCGATGACTAGGCTAGGCATGCGTTCGTAACACATGTCCTAACCATCTCAGTCGATGTAACACCTTCATAGCCTCATCGATTGATTTCCCCTCCCACCTACCTAGCACTCTACAGTAGGATATTATATCTGCTCTCGACAGATGGTTCAAGTTGGCAAGTGGTCTTCTACTAGCGCTTTGTATTCATGTTGATATATATGTATTTTGTCAGCAATCAGTCGGGTTAATATGTGGTGCAACTTCTTAAATAAGTCAAAATTGGTCAATACGCTTTAGCACTTCACCTCACTTCACTCTCTCTCTCTCTCTCTCCCTTTAAGCTACTAAGCATCACTGCTTTCTTTACCCGAGATTATTAACACACTCTGGCATTAAAACTTCCCAATAGGTTTATTTTTTAATGGGCTGCCAATAAACTGTGCCTTACTTAATTTTTCTGTTTAAAAAGACCATGTCCATAAAATGATTTTGTTGCATGTATTTGTGTGTATGTGTGTGTTACTTAATTCGCGTTTTTTGTGTGGTATTATGTGCCCTCTCTCCACACACACACACACTCATGCACGCACACCTGAAACACTTACTTGTCTAGCTGTTACATCATACACCCCCCCCCACACACACACACGTACATACAGTGTTCAAATGGAAAATTATGTTGGAAATCGTTTGCAAAAGCAGAGAATGTCAGTAATCACTAAGTACGTACTAAGGAAGCCATAATAATGATATTTAAGTTGATCATCAAATTTATACTGGTTTATGCGGAAAACAAAAATACAATTGATTGTTTTGTTTTTATTTAGCTTCTTTCCTT